TACACTTAAAAAATGGGATGAGGCGGGACTTCCCCCCACCTTTTAAAAATGTTTCTAGAGCTACTAAAAAACTCGCATTTACAAAATAGTTGATAAAAATATTCCTCTGGATTGTACAAGAAGGGAGGCGGGACACTGACAGACACGATGGATGGTTAGTCGGACTTGGCTTCTTTCTCTTCGACTTCAGAGGCTGGACTCTGGTTCTCAGCCTCTCCATTTTCTGCAGGCACATCTGTGGTTTGCTGGTCAGCCACCTCCGCCTGTTTGCCCTTTGCTCCCCTCTTCCCTTTTGTTTGCACTTTTTTGTCTGATGGTTTATCCTTCCCCGCGGCCTTCTTCGGCTTCGCGTCCACCTTGGCAGGGGCGGGCTTGGCCGACAGCCTCGCCGAGCGCCGCTTGGGCTCCGCCTTCGCCGCTCCGTCCGCGCTAACCTTCCTCTTGGGCATCGTGGCGGCGCTGGGTGGGAGGCGCGTGCGAGGCCGAACCCGTCACGGAGCTACACCGCCTCGGCCGCCACCGCACGAACTGCCGAAAGTGTTGTTTTAAAATAAGTAAAATTCCTCACTAAGTGCACAGGCCTGTCCATGTTATTGGTGATCAGAGGAAAGCACGGATGACAAGGACCAGATGCCTTTAAAGCCGTGCTTGAGCAGGGCCAGAGAGGGATACATCTTCCTCCAGATGCTCATAGGGAGTCCACCACGTCCAGTATATGTAGGACTAGTGATAGAACTGTCCACTAGGCAAGGACTCATCCATCAGAGCTACATCCTCAGTCCTGATGGTTACATTCTATAAACTGTGAGAAATGTGGCACACACTGACAATTGCAGCACTCAGGTGGAGGATATAGGATGATCACAAGTTCAAGGCCAGCCTGGCCTACATAGGGAGGATCTGTCTTTAAAAATGTGTCACAATGTATCTATGTTATCTGTGCTCAGAAGCAAAAGGATAGTCATCAAATGATGTGCAAAAAGTGGGAAGTCCCACCTCTGGGAAGGGGCAGGGCAGAAAGAGTTTGGGTGAGGGAGTTTTCATCATATCCATTGTACAATCTGATTTTTTTAAACAAATGCATTTACTTTCCAATCAGAAGCTTTAGAGGAATATAATTTATAGGCCACAAAATTCAGTCCTTTTGTCCATTCACAGAGTTGTACGACTGTGGCCATCATCTGTCATCTGTGTTTAGGACGTTTCATTCCCCTTGCCCTCAAAGAAACCCATTAACAGTAAACTCTACATCCTCATCCTCAGAAACTGTCAATGGTGAACAAACCTTCTGTCATTATGGATTTGCCTATTCTGGACATTTCCTATAAATAGAATTAAACCATATGTCTAGAACTTCTCACTTAGTGTAATGCGATTAAGATTTATTCATGTGATAGCTCTATCAGTGTTTCCTTTGTTCCTGCTCACATAATATTCCACCTTAAAGATAGTTTTCATTTTGCCCATCAGCCACATGATCACTCAACTGACTTCCACATCTGACTGAAGTGAGTTGTCTTGCTCTAAACTTTGATGTATATTGTTGGGTGGATACATCTTCACTTCTCTTCACTATGTCAGAGAAATGGAGGTGGCGGGTTGTGGGTTCTGTACATTTGAGGAACTGTTTTCTGCCCTGATTCCCTTTCCCAACTCTTCTCATCTTTCTGATCAGTCCAACTTAGGTGTAAAGTCATGCTGCCGGTTCACATCCCGGGAGCAGATGGTTCTGGGCTTCATTTAACTGTTGACAACTTGAACACCTTCTCTGGGGAAATGTCTATTTGGGTTCTTTAACCAGTTACAAACAGAGATTATTGTCATCTTATTGCTGATCAATAAGGGTTCATCGCACACCCCAAACACAAGACTCCGATTAGACACTTGATCTGATGATGCTCCTCTCTGCACTGATATTTACTTTTCTGGTGGCATCCTCTGGAGTCAAGTGTGCCCACTGTTTACCTTGCTGCTGATTCTTGATGCACCATGAAGACAGCTCTGCCAGACCTGAGGCGATGGTCAAGGCTGCCCTCATTTTATATTCCTCTCAGGCTTTGCTTCTGCCTTGTGTTACTCTTCTCGTGGGGTGTGTTTCCTACTACGCCCTTCTACATGCATGTATACAGTTGTCCCACAGTTTGAATAGTTTGAGTGACCATTCTCTGTAGGCAGAAGTTTCTGTCCCACCCACCAGTTCCCAAATAACCAACACAGAGGCTTAATATTAATTATAAATGCTTGACCAATGGCTCATGCTTGTTACTAGCTAGCTCTTACAACTGAAATCAACCAATTTCTGTTCATCTATGCATTGTCGCGTGGCTTGTGGCTTTATCTGTCCTCCCGCATGTCTTGCTCCCTCTGTGTTTTCTCGTGACTCCTCTGACTCCACCCTTCTTCATCCCAGCATCCTTTCTTTGGTTGTCCTGCCTATACTTCCTTCCTGGCTACTGACCGATCAGATTTTTATTAAACCAATCTGGGTGACAAATCTTCATAGTGTACAAAAGGATTATTACACAGCAATTCTCTTCCCCACTCATACATTTTAGAAATCTTGTCAAAATCAGTTGACTGCAAAGATACAGGCTTTTTTCTGGATGCAGAAACCCAAACACGCTGACCCTTAAGTTTTCATACTCATTGCTTGCATGTCTCTATGTTAGGTGAGCTTTGGGATGCTGATGGTGATGGCAGTGTGTGGCTTGTTCTGCTTCTCTGACCATCCAGCATTCGCCCCAATAACTGGCCACAGGTTTGATTTTATTAATAAGAACTTATAAGATTCCTGCTACATCTGGCGCCCAATATTCATGGTATGAACTCATGAAAAAGCTACTTGCTTGTGGCCTTGCGGGCCCCTTGCTCAGACCCCAGCTACCCTAAGCTGGTTGTGGTGTCACACGCTGGTTGGATTTGCTGAAAGAGGCAGAGACAGGAGGATCCCAAGTTTGAGGGTGGCCTAAGAGGCTTGCTAAGGAAAAACTTCGACCCAGGCCCAGCCACAAGTGGCAGTGGGACCATGGAGGCAGCGGCTACTGCTCCGAGTTGCTGGCTCCTTCTCATCATGTTGGTGACTGCAGTGATGCTGCTACCTGGGACGAAGGGTTTACTACTGCTTGTTCAGAGAAAACTTGCCAGGACCATTGAGTTACAAGAAAGCATCGGCAAAGGTCAGTTTGGAAAAGTTTGGAGAGACAAATCGTGAGGAGAAATTGCTAAAATATTCTCTTCTAGGGAAGAACGTTCATGGTTCCAAGAGACAGACATTTATCAGACTATGATTACTCCAAACCACAGAAGAGGTACAAAAAAAAATCTGCAGGGAACCATGACCACGCCTAACAGTGACTTTGAAATCTTCAAAAGGATGATGGGACCCCACAAAGTTGATTCCACATGGACTATGGTAAAGCCATTAAGCTGATTAACACCAGGGAAAGATCAACTTTGGACTACAAACTACTCAGGACAATTTGAGGTGGCCAGCTGAGATGATCCAGCCTGACAGACTACTTGAACAAGGACTTGAAACAAGCCCTGCACTTTCTCATTATGCAGCGACTGGACAAATGATACAGGACTTGACAATTAACCCAAAATTTTTCTTTTCAGTATTCCTTAAAGATGTCTTCGCCCCTAGAAAGTGGGAAGTAATTTTAAGAAAATGACACCCACATTCCCAAGAGGTGGGATGGGAGGTTTTTGGTCATTTAATGAGTTTTGGATATTGTCATTGTTTATGATGGTTGGTTACAAGTTGTTAATTGTTAATGGTCAGGAAAAAAGATGAACAAAGAGATTAGATTCAGAGTTTGTCTTTAAAAAAAGATAAAAGAAATAATAGGATAAATGGGTAGATCACTGAATCTACACTAAAAAGAAAAAGGGGAAGATACATAAATGACAAAATACTGAATCTATTATGAAAAGAAAAATACTTTTAAAAAGGAACTACTTGTTTTAAATAGGATAAGTAATGAATTCTTTTTTGTCTGAGTTTATCAATGTTACTGGACTGGACATTGTTAATATATATAAAAGGTAACTTTTATATATATAATATATATATATATATATATATATATATATATATATATATATTTCCCTCATCTTACATAATAAATGTATTTAATGTTAATGGACTAGACATTGTTAATTTAATCTTAACTGTATATATTGTATATACTTATTGGATAGTTTTTCTTGTATTATAATATTTTTTAAA